CCACCGGACTCGAAGCGGCCTGTCTCTTTGTCGGGGATCCATCCTTGCCCCCATAATTAGATCGGCGCACTCCACGCTCGGAAAGAGCGCGGGCGCGGCGCGCAGTTGCGTGCGACATGCGCAGCATTTCGACGCAAAACACGCGTCACACTTCTTCAAGAGATAAAAAAAAAAAAAAAAAACTAGTCCATTTCAATCGAGCCATTACCACGAGCAAGTCAGGGCCCACAAAGAAACAAAACCTCCCATCAAGTGTTAAAAAAACGACCGAGAAACAACAAGGGTAACATGCTCTACAAAAAAAACCCACCGTCTCCGATGGGACCCGCGGGCTGCGGCACCGCCGGAGGCGGGGCACCCGCGACGACGGCAGCAGGCGGAGGGACCGGCGGTAGGGCGGAGGCGGGAGGCACGGTGGCAGCGCCTGCGGCGCCTACGGCACTGGGAGTCGTCGCTGCCGGCGCCGGCGCCGCCTGGTGAAGGCCGTTGCCGTTCAACGCGTCCGCAGAGGGCAGCTTCCGCTTATCGCGGGGGACGTAGGTCCCCGCCTTCTTTGTGATCACGTCGCTCTCCGTCTGTGGCGATCAGAGGGGCGGGGGAATGGGGGGGGGGGCGTTCTCATGCTTTTTATTCCGTAGTTGGGAGGCCATTGACCACGCAAGTTGTGTTGCAGAGATCTCGCACCCCGACAAAATCGTGGACAGCGTAGAGCGAGTCGGGTTTCCAAAAGAATGGAAGCGGGGAAGGTTCACGGGGTCAAGGGGTGGGGCACGATGCTATCTACAATGCATAGCGTGTTGTTCCTACATACTCAACGAGCTTGTCATCACATGTGTCGCTGGCCTGCATGAATCTCGACACCCCCTGGCGTCTTCCAGGCCAAGCTTGCTTCGAGTGTCGACACATTCGCGTTCTCCAACAAAAAAAAAAATCCCCACCCACACCGCCGCACCTTAGCGAACTGAATTCTCATCTTCTTCTCGAAGAACGGGAACCCTTGCATCTGTCGGAGGGCGTTTGTGGCCATGCTCTTCTCCGCGAACACCACCCACGCCTGCCGAAGCAAACGGAGAAAATGAACGGTCAGGTGATGAGAGGGGCGAGATACCAAGGCAACGTCGGAAAAACGTTTGGAGAGAGCAAACAAAGCAAACTTTTCATATTCCGCCTATTGATGTACGCGGTCAATAGCAGAGGGGGCGGCAGTCTGCAACCCATCCTACCGATTTCTAATACAGGCACACGCGATACAACCGCACCGGTCACGCTCGCAACTGATGCTCAGTCAATCTCCTGAAACGCCGTCGGGCAGAGGCGGCCATAAGGAAACCAAAATATATGCTTGTTATCGCACACCTGTCCTTTAAGCTTGAGCCCCCGACATGCCACGATGTCCACGATCTTGCCGAACTGGCTGAACACGCTGTTACATACCAGAGGAGCGTGATTGACCCCAGTGCGTGCCGCCGTCCGTATTTGTTTTCGGGAATCAGACAAGAACAAGACCAACATCGGAACGCCGAAGACAGGATCGAGGTTAGCCGTTGTGAGGCCGGCGCCCCGTAGGTTCGTCGATACAGTACGTGCACCCATTGCGTCCATGTGTGCACCCATCCGGCGGACACAGACAAGAAAACCGCGTGCAGAGCGTGTAGGGGGGTGTACTAATTCAAACCGCATGCCGAAGTCGTGAAGATTATCGATCGGGGAATGGGGGTGGTTTGTGCGTGCGGCTGACCCGCGAGGTGTGCTGCTACGGGTGGAAACCGACACAGCAGCGTCGTTTTGTGTGTTCTAGGTGCACTTCTGTGGGATGGCTTAGCTGGAAGTCGGGCGGTGAACGCGCAGGGGGCCTCCGCCTCCTCTTAAACTTGCGATCGCAACCTGAGTTCGTTTGCTTCACAACCACTTCCATGATACAGCGCCTCATCGATCCCCCCATCCATGGGCCCCTCCCTGCCTTAAGGGGAGGGGCAGAAGAAAAACATAACCCCCGCATCCTCATCAAAATCAAAGGTGCTCTGTTGTCTGGTCGGATCGGAACATCGGACGGAGGGATGCGGAGAATCGGATGTCCACCGGCCGCACGCACCACCCAACAGCGTCAAAACCGATGCTGCTGCAAGGGGGGTATGCATCCTGCTGTTGACTAACAAGGGGCTACGCAAAATACTGCGTGGAGTGTAACTCTGTGGGTACATCATCCGGGGCGAGACAGAGGGACACAACGAAAATCCAACCCAACTGTGAATTTCGAGGAGTGCACTGCTGTTGAGTCGTTGACAGCTGACAGCATCGCCTGCTCTCTTCACTATCGGGCCAGCTCGAACGGCAGGCACTGCTCCTCCTGCGCTGCAGACGAAGCTGCTGTTCCATGTGTGTGTGGCAACCCCGCCAAAAATGCGAAAACGACACTGAACAACCAACTGCTTGCCGCGGTACAAGAAGCCGTGTAATCCCCGACAGAAAACTTTGTGCAATAACAGTTCCCGTATGTACCACCCCGTAATCTTTGCCGCGGAGAAGCGAGAAGAGGGCAGAGGGAGAAAGAGCGACAACGAGGATCTCCCGCCCCAGAGGTCAGCCAGCTTGCGCCTCCCGACCAACACACACACCCGTACCTGTGCAGCGACTTCTTGAGCAGAGGCTTCTTGATCTTCTCGTTCAGGTTGCTCACGTAGATGGTGTGGTTAATGACTCCCACATCCCCCATGGTATCGAGCTTTTCCAGTCAACCTCTCCACACACACAGCTCTGTTTCGCTTTTTGGTGCAGATTGCTCTTCTCCTATCCGCGAAATATCCACCGCGTTGTTTTCTACCCCTCCCGGGAAGCAGGCACGTAGCGATCCCGCACAGAGTTGAATTGGCCAAACACAAGAGTGGATTGTGTCGTGAGCGTTGGGTTTGGGTGCTGATGGATGGGTAGTGTTCACTGTTTGCTGTTTGTCGTAGCTGGGCTGCCTGCTGGTCCTGCTGCTGTTGCAAACTGCCCGGGGGGCCCGTGAAATCTTAATCTTCCCTGGGGGGGGATCCGAACAAGCAATAAGGGCTTCGGAACCGTGCTCTCCGAGTGTCATCACAACATTGCAGCGGCGGCAGCAGTTCGTGAGGGACAGCGAGGGACAGCGAGGTCGCTAGAGGTAGTTGACTGGGCTGAGTTTCGAGCCATTTCCCTCGCTCCTTGCAGTCGTTGCTTTTGTCCGCAAGTGGCAAGCGGAGAGTCGCTCTAAAACGGGTTCACAAGGTCAGGCTGCTGCTGCTGTCGCCAAGAGCGGAGTATTCCACCGCACCATGATGGCAACGAGGCCACAGCCCTCTGGGGAGGGTGGTGCTGCTGCTGCAGCTGCTGTGGCACAGGAGGAGAAGAGCGTACCGGGGGTGAGACATGCTCATGAATGGTATAGATCTGTAAATGTGTGTGTGCGTCGAAAGCTTTTGTTTTGTACCAGAGTACATCCTGCTGGGGAGTAGTGGGGTAGGGGCTCTCTCCTGTGGACGTGTGAAACTTGAAGCAACGCCGTGCACTGCGGTATAGCACATGAGAGAAGGAGAGAGGCGGCGAGAGAGAGGGGGGACTCTGCCAGCAACCGTAATTCGTGAGGAGTGACGATGCAGCCTGAGCTACTGCTGCAGCCGTGGCGCGTCTGCAATTATGGTGTCGAGGTTTTTTCTCCAGTGTTCTCGTAACAGCCCTCCTTCCCTCCGGTCCCTCCCTCTCGGCAGGTCAGCAAGGACGCGCTCAGAGAGGAGAGGAAACCTCTGCTGGACTTGGACGACGTCACGCAGCTCGAGAACGAGCTAGCCGCGTGTTTCGACGCGCCGCCGCCTCCTCCTCTCAACATACGGGTGGGTACATACATCTCCTCTGGACGTAGGGGGTGTCTTCTTAGTTTTTGGGAAAAGAGAGGTCCAAAGAACTTTCTTCGGGAGGACAAGGCGCGGTGCACGTATGCACACAGCAGTTCCCGGTATTTTAAGATAAAGTAGGCGTGGGCACCTGTGATCAACGCGGTTCTACAGTAGTACTGCTATGGTGATTTAGGGGCACATTTGCGTGCCATCCCTTTCCGCCCCGTACGAAAACAGTGTGGAACGCGCACAGCAAGAGGGGACTAGCATGTCGGCACGTTTGCTGTACACATGCAACAACCAGATTAAGTGTCAGCTAAGCAAGCGGTTGAAGCAGAAACAACGACCTGTGACAGCTCCTTGAAGTGCATACCAACCAAGCCCCCTTCTCTTGTTGGGGTTTAGAGTCGATCACCGGTGGTGAGGGGAAAGGACGCAGAAGAAGGTGAACTCGCAGCGTGTCCGTCCCGCCGCATGTCTGCTGCAGTATTTTCCTCCACAGAGAACGAAATTACGTGTTATGTCCGTGCAGGTGTATCCGTCTCGTGTTTCTGCATGCACAGGCAAGATACACGCCGGCTGCCAATACATGTTCTTTCGTGTGGTGTTGCCGGTCATTCGTGTATTGTTGTACCGTCAAAGAGGCGTTCAAATCGGCGCGGGCTTCGCAAGAGCGTATAGCACGTACACCATACACCGCCTGGTTTCCAGATTGCGCAGGCTGCTGTATGCCCCAGAAAGCTTTCTCACGCTCGGCCATGATTTTTTTTTTCATTTACCCTGGACGTTACATTGTGTAAGGAAGGAAGGACATGACTCCTTCCGTTCGTGGTGTCAGGGTTTTGTCTTTGTCGCCTTGAGCCTTGAGCCTTGAGCCTTGAGCTGTGAAGTCGCCAAGGGTGGAGTGTTGTTGCGTCGAGGGAGCATGGCGTGGTCGGGTAGGGTCACACCAGGGAAGGGTGACAGCCCACCCGACCCCGAGACGCCTTCATCAGATGAGCGCCCCCCCCCCTCCCCGCTGGCAAGTATTTGCACATGGATTGTCGTTGATTCAAAACGCGGTACGGCGACAACGCGGGCCCTTTTTTTACCTTTTTAAAGATCCCAGAGATCAGGTCCAGGCTGACTCTTCTGGTGTGACGAGAAGAAGGTTTACCCAATAACTTGCTTGGTGCGGCAGTCACCCCTGAGGCCCCAAACAAACATTTTGAGGTTTGAACAATCTCGGGCTAGTATCTTTCAGAAAAAAGACTTGAGAGAAGATCGGGGTCCCACTGCTAAATAACTCCGTATGTACCACTGCCCACCCCCCACCCCCCCACAATTTGCCGTGCCCACCATAATAGCGAGAAGAGCCTGTCGCGACCGTTTCGACGTGGATGCCGATGGCGGAGCACCGTTACGTGGAGACGCACGTTGCGCCGCCGACAGCTTCGGACGTTGCCGCTGCTCGGGCGAGAGGGGAGCTGCCGCAGCTGCTGCAGGAGGAGCAAGAGCAGGAGGGGGGGCAGCAGCAGGAGCGACAAGCACAGACGACGAGGGTCTCTGACTTCAGCAGCTTGTACTCCGCGGCTCCGCACCGCGAGGTGTGAACGATCGTGCCAAGTTGTACCGTAGCCGTAGCGGGGCTGTTCAGTTTTTTTCACCTTTTTGATGGATTATTGGGGAGCTTTTACCGTGAAGGGTGTGTGGACGTGGAATGGATATCGCTTGCTGTTGCTGTTTTTTGTGCGATTCTGTTGCTGCTTGGCGCGGGTGGCGTGGCGGTGTGCAAAACGTTTTTATTTGACTGATGTTTGTGGTGCTAGAGAAGGCGGGGCGTATCATCAGCGGCGGTGCCTGGGCTACCGTATCGTGCTGATTGCTTTTGCTGGGCCTCGTTTTTGCCGAAATCAAACGAGAACAAACACTGCAGGAATCATCACCCGATCGAATTGCGTGTCTATCCAGATGCTGCTCATCACGACCTCGCTCGTGGAGAACGAGAACAAACTGACACCACCCCCGCTCCGCACGACATGTCCACTTTTGTGTCAACAACAACGAAATAGGAGTCCACGGGTCAGCTTTACCCGGTCTTGGCCCCCTCCGCACCGTCCTCCGACACGATGAGGATACCGATGCCGCCGCCGGCAGTACCAGCAGCCGCACCAACAGCGGCACGGGCGCCGTCGGCTGCTTCTAGTGCTGCCGTGCGCGATGACGCGGCGGCGGCAGAGGCGGCAGAGGCGGAGGCGTCGTCTTTGACTACTGTTACGGCGACGGCGGACAGAGAGAGGAGGCAGGACGTGTCATCTTCGGGCGAGGTTGTCGAAGAGCTCCTGTCGGAGAACGAGCGCTTGCGCGCTATCATTCAGGAAATGTCCGATGAGGTGTGTGTAGATTATTAGCATCGACCGCGCTATGACCGGCTGGCCAACAAAGACGTCAGTCTCAGTGCGGTTGAACATGTACAGAAAGTGCTTCTGACGGCTCAAGTGTGTGTGTGCGTGTGTGTTTCTTTGACACGCATCGACCGCGCTAACCGGCCGATCCATGAAAATACGCCAATGTTAATAGGAGTAGCTAGTTTCTTGGCGCCGACCACGCCAACCGCCCAACCGACGAAAATGCGTCAGGTTTGCAGCGGGACGACAGAAGGTGACAATTTTGCCTTCTCATCGAGATAGATGAGCCGCCAACTCTCAAGTTAGGTTCGCGTGTATGTGCTGTATTCTCCCGAACTCCCGGCGGACCTGACCCCCCCGCGCCCTCAATTTTCTGCCGTGCTTCCCGTCTCCCCACCCCACGCGGTTGTTGTTTGGGTTTCAGCTGGAACGGGTATCGGTGCAGGCAAGAGGCGGCTCCACGGCGGCGGCAGGGGCGACGCAAGGGCGGCAATCCTCGGCCGCGCGTGCGGCCACGTCCGCTTCGCCCACCGAGCGATTATTTGGCCGATATCCCGGGGCCCAGGCGGAAGCAGCGAGGTGAGGCGACGGCGCGTGGGCATTGCGGTGGAAGGGGTGGAGAAGGGCGGGCATGGAGGAGAGGCGGTAGTTTTTCTGGTATTTGGTCGTTATTGCATGAAGCAGGGTCCTGTACTCATTTGTGTTCATTGGCCTCGTCTTGAACCGTTGACGACGGGGCAGGAGCACACCTACCTGTGTGTTCCAGCGCAGCCCTGGTTCCCCTCTCTCCGAACAGTGCCGTCCGTGCGTTTCGACTGATGATGGTTTTCCGTGGGCAGCACCCATTCGAGTCCTCTTTGACTTGGAGGGCAGTTCCAACTTTCGCATGCTGTTGCACGGTGAACCTTTCTTGCCTGGTGCTGTTGCTGGGCTGTTCCGTCGCGCCCGGGGGACTGGCAGAGGTGTGTGCCTCGTGCACGCAACGCCCGCGATGATCCCCCCTCCTAGTTAGTGATAGTCGCGCGCGTGTTGGAAAGGCAAGGCGTCTCCTGATGGTGCCGGTGGTGATTGCACCGCTGTCGTGGTCGTCGTTTCCTGCCGTCTTCCCTGCGTGATCCACAGGCGGCGGCGAGAACAAGCTAGCCGACAGCAACAAGGACAGCGGCAGGACAGCGGGGCGCGGCCGCGGCCGCAGGTGCAACCGCAGGTGCAGCCGCAGGTGCAGGCCGCCGTCGGAGCGGGAACGTGCGTGCATTTCAAATGCGAAAACTGTCCCCAGTGGCTCAAGGTCCCCGTGCACGCGCAGCTGGTGTACTGTCCTGCGTGCGGGTGAGTGACTTGCTTGTCGGCTGGTCTTGTGCCACGTCTTTTGTCCGACGGGTGGCGAGCGCTGACTCCAAGAAGATCGTGCCCTTACTTTGGTGGTCTTCGGCGCGATTGCTTGCGCGATGGGTCCAACTCATTGTTGGGAAGCAAAGGGTGCGTCGCTCTTGCCGGCTTGTCGTCGAAACGAAACAACAGACTTCCCCTTGAACGAGGTTTCCGGGGGTCATCAACAGCAAGAGACGGCACCGTAAACATGACGCGAGTTTGGTAGAATGCCCCATGTGTTGTTGTCCGTCACTTACGTGCACGACACTGCTGTTTGTTTTTTGTCTCCAGCTGATTTAAGCGAGAGCAAACCAACCTACCACAACGACAGCAGCAAGCCTTTTCGTGAAAGCCGAGCAGCGGCCTGCCCCATGGCCAAAATCAAAGGACGCACATACCCCCACGCCTTTTTTTGCATCCACAACTCGCCACCTTTCGCTCCATGTTCATTTCCCCGCCCCGGCACCCCCAACGTTATCCGGGCCTATCCGTTGCAACAACACCCTTCCTCGGTCAATGCTTGTCGCAGGCACACGTCCGAGATGACGTCCGCGTCCACGATTCACCACCCGCCGAACAACGGCAACGAGTCTACGACCGCCGGCGCTAGCAGCAGCACCGGAGCGGCGGGGCGAGGGGGAGAGGAGGAGGTTGGATGGCTGGGGTACTTCAAGAGCATCATCGCTTCGTGACGATGTTCTGGCAACCTACTGAGATGGAGCGGCTGACGTGTTTTACATGTTCCTTGGCGTTGTGCGTGTTTGTTTGTTTGCACCGATCTATGGTTCGGCTCATTGCCCGCTGTCCATGTCATTTGTTTGTTTTTCTCTCTCCCTCTATCTTGTTCCATACCATGTAGACGCCAGAAATAGGCGCTGCTCACAAGTAGTCGGTGATGCGTGTGCTTCCCTTTTGTTGAGAGGATCCGCGTGTGTGAACACTTTGCCTACGCTTTCAATTTCACTGAAGTGCAAGGGCGTACCCTGTTCACCGCAAAATGTGACGAGCCCTACACGATTGTGCAACGGAGTTGGACGCAGAGGAGCGGGCTATCGTTGACGATTAGTCCGAGGCGGACCGATTAGGCTTCGCGACGGGTTGCAAATCAGGGGTGTAACAATGTGTGTTAGGTGTGTGCATAGGCCTTTGGTGTACGCCGTGTCCCTCAACGAGCGGTGACGGCGACCATCGGCCTACGGCAACTCTTTTCGTATTGGTGGTGATTCATGTGTGTCTGCGGTCCTCGTGTTGGTCGCTCGGTACGTGCCGAATGACTGTATCGTGTTGTCCTTTGGAGTAGGTGTACAACCCGAGAAAAGGAACGAGATTTCAGCCCCACTGGGCCCCCGTGCCTACTCTGCAAGTAGGGGGTGGGGGTGGGGGCTCGCATTTCTGCTGTTGTAACGGTCTTGTATTTTATTTTTCGTGGTTCTCTCTGTCGGGGTTTGTGAGCGTTATATTTTCCGGCTTCCCTCCTTCAATCTGGGAGGAACATGCATGTGGGGTGCCTCTGTGGCTGTCAGCCGCTGATTCCACAGGCATAATACAAAATGGTGACGACGGGTGCCAGTACAGCTTCATCGCCACCTTCCGGTGAGGTGAAGGAAGGCAGGATCACCCTCCTCCGGCACTTCGTGCGAGAGAGAAGAGTATCCTGCCCAGGAAGGATAGGTGGCAGCTGGTTTCCCGTTGCTTGGTGTATAGCAGCAGGTTGAATCGGCGGCAGCTTTGTTTTCGTAGCGAAATGCAGTGACGGTCACGGCGGAAAACAACTGGATTTCACTTGTGTTTTGATCGGATCTGTGGTGTAAGAGAAGCGTCTGTCAGAACAAGACCTTGGTGGCCGTGGCGGGTGCAAGAGATGCAGCCGAGGCCTCGTGGACCAAGGTCACAGCTGCGATATCAATGCCAGGCCCTGCTGCTGATCATACCTGTTCTTGACACATTGGCGGGTTGGCATAAGCGTGATGATCACGGCCCCTGGCAATGGAGTGGACGGCGGAGCACGACCCTCCCGTGCCGACAACGGTAACAGGGCAGCCGACCAACATACCTTGTTCAATAATTGGCGCCACTCATTTTCTGGCGGTGTTTACCTGTGCCCCCCGGTGCTTCGCTGCTACAGTAGTGTTGACGTGCGGAAGGCGGGGATGCATTCGTCGTCCGACGTTGCTCACATATCCTGCGATGGACGTGTTACTCTTTGCTTCTGTCGCCCAAATCAGTTTTACCTGCCGCACGGTCTTGCCGCCTTAGGCTCCTTTAGCCGGATGGGCTCCGATGAGTAATGGTAGTGGAAGTAGGGCCTCGTGGTGAGCTATGCGAAGCAAGCGAGGACGTCCTAGATTATGAACATATTTTTCACTACGAATGCCAGACTTCGTTACATGAAAATGAATCCTAAGACGAGGAGGATATTGTGAACTATGACAAATGGGTTACAAGCTGGGCCAACCAAGAAGTCAACGAAATGGTTAGAAGCGATTTCCAAGCCGGTTTTTACGAATTGGAACCTGAAATTGTGATATGTGATTGGAAACAGTCTTACAAACGCCCCCGAGTCAGATGCCGTTTTTTTTTTAACGGCATCTCACTCGGGGGCATTTGTAAGACCACTCCTAATCACATATCAAAATTTCAGGTTCCAATTCGTAAAAACCGGCTCGGAAATAGCAAATTGCGTCATGACCTCGATACCTGGGTGCAGGGGCGGAAATTGTGTAGGAAAATGAAGGCCATACAGCCCGAGAAAAGGGGCGCGAAAGCGGCCTGATGGCAAGAGGCGCACAGATGCTGACTGCACCCCTTTGGTTGGACAGGTAGGTGTGGGTGCTTATCGATCGTAATGACGTGACACACATACATGCAAGAGGTTGTAATCTGAAGGTAAGCGCTCCAAAAACGCATGACAAATGTTTTGCACAAATCGCACAAAAGTTGACGTTTCTTTGTACATAAAAAAAAACACTTCGTTCGTTGATTGACAGCGGTTAAAAAACACCCGCTTATCTTCAAACAACATTCAAACTGACAGACTCATCAACACACACACACAACTTCTCGCACCGGTTAATCTTACAGAAAAAAATGATGCAAACTACAGCTTGAAACCGACTCATTTAACACACACCCCCACCACACCCGTTTATCTCGCAGAAAAAAAATCCAATGTACAAGTACATGCCACCGACTACAATCTACAACGACAACACACAGCTCACACAACACCCGCTTCTCTCACAGCATGAAACAAAACATGCACACACAACTCGAGACCCCCCCCCCTCGCCATCGGCCGGCCGACGTTGTTACTGGTCGCCAAGAAAACTAGTTTCCATGTCCAAAATGTTGCGGTGGGCCTTTTGGATCTTGCGCATCTTCTCGATGAACTCCTTGTTCCTGATGACTACCCCGCGAAGCGCAATCTCGCGGTAAGCCCGGCAGTAGTCTCGTGTTCGCCGGGCAAAGCGCCGCACCCGACCGATTGTCAAGTACTTGTCTATGCACAGCGACTTTTCGATGTTGTCGTGCAAGTGCTTCGGGACCTCATCATTGATCTTCCGCCGAAACTTCTGCTTGGAAAACCCCCACGAGTACTCGATCCCTACCCCCGCTACCTCCGGGTGACACTTCGGAGACGACAAAAGAATGTGTCCCCTACTCTCTACCAGGTGCTGCAGGGCTGTCCTCTCATTCTTAAAGTCAGGCAAGGCTTGCAGAACCTTTTCCACGTGCATATCGTCACTGACTCCCGCCCCTGTTGACATGCCGTCCTTCCACCACCCACGCTCCCACAGGTACTGCCTGACCCCTTTCGCTTTCCCCTCGTACCCTTCCTTGACCTTCCCCTTCGCGTTCTTCTTGTCTTTGCGCGGAGCATCCCATTCGAAAAACGGAGGAGGCGCACCTACCGCGAAAGTGCTAGTCTGAGTCTGGCCCACCGTCAGCTTCTGGTCAACACACACTGCCCCCTCGCTGAACTTCGTGCTCCACCTGCCGTTGGCGAAATACATTTTCGCCTCCTCCGGACCCAAGCACTCCTCCGTCATGACCGAATCCCGCAACACCTTTTGCTTCCCCCCATACTTGACGTTCATGTTCGATACATGCAAACCATCCTCTCGCTGCTTCCCATGGCCCGACGAGTGGTCGACCTCGAACACTATTTGCATGTCGGGATCGATGTGCTCCAAGACGTCCATCACGTCTTCGACCTGTTCTTCGAACTGGTCGTAGCCCCAGTACCCATCCTTGCCTTTTCCGTATTCAAGAAACCGGAGTCCAGGGCTTCGCGTCAGGTTTTTTTTGCCGTTCCCCTCCTCATCGCGTTTGGCGTTCACCGCCGCCAGGTCGGCATCCGAAATAGGTAAGCCGAAACCGTGTCTTTCGTCCTGAAAACCAGACACCATTTCCCCCGGCCCCTCCGTCTTTTTCCGCAGTCCGCGCACCCCTCGAATCACCCACTCTTTGCCCTCGCGTGCATACGCCTTGTAGGCACTCTCGTCCTGCCCGATGTGGTGCACCTTCTTGCCGCATCTGCACTTGTTCGGGGGGTGGAAATGCTCGCACTGGGCAGCAGCGGCCTGATCGAAGCGAACGCTGTAGTCCCCACCCTCTGGACCAAGTGCGGCGCGGAGCTTGTCGAAGTTATCGACGGAGCCGTCGTCGCGCAGGAGATCTACGTGGAATTCGATGCAGTCTTGTCCATCGATCTTGCAGTCGTACACCTCTGCGTAGAAATCTCCTTCCGGGCCTCGCGACTTAAGGCTGTCGAGTCGGTCCACCTCCTCCTGCTTGAGAGCGGCTCGTTGCACTCGTACCCACAAGGGTTGACGCAGCGCCATCTTGCGTCTCTTCTCTATGTACTCGCCGCGGTACTCGACTACCTCCTTCTTCTCGTGGGTGTCCGTGTAGAACGACTTGGTGGCCCGCTCGTACCTGCAACCCAACCTTATCATCCACGAGTGCGTCGTGGACATCGAAACCGGAAGGTTCACCTGGTACGCATGGAGCCTGGAAAGATCCTCCTTGTCGTCTTGGAGCAGAGGCCCGTTGATGTACTTGCAGACGTCCTTGATGGTGAAACGCGGTTGTGATATCATCCACGCCAGCAACGCACTCTTCAGATCCTCCTCTGACATGATCCAGTCCGGCTCGTGCGCACCCCGTGCATCCCGCCTGAAACCACCTTCCTTCCGAAAGTCTCTGAGCCACCTCAGGATCGTTGATGGCGCATAAGCCTGCGGACTAGAACCTGCTACCTTTGCCGCCATCCGCAGGAGCGAAGCCTCGTGCCGAACCAACGACGCCTCGTTGAGCAGGTCAAACCGTTCGGCATCGGCTTCCTTCACGGCGGCATCCGTTGCATGCTTGCAGCCGGACAAAACCTCGTTCGCCTTCCGCGTGAGCTCCAGCTGCTTGACGTCGCGCTCCCGCTCCTCTTTCAGCACCTCCAACGATGAGTACGCTTGCTGCCACAACCGGATTATCTGCTTCTCGGCTACTTTTTCCTCCGGCGGTTTTCCCGTGTCCTCGGCCCACGTCCTATCGCCCGCGTTCTCACCGTCCTCCACGGAAGGGAGGGGGAGGGGGAGGAGAAGGCTGGGGAGGTGGCCAGTCCGGAGGGCGTCCTGGAGACGCTTGATGTGTTGCTCGTTGGCTGCAACGTTTGCCGTCAAGTCTTTGATCCGGCCGCCGAGGTAGGCTCCACGTTGATCGAAGGCCTTTCGAAGCTTTCTGTCTCTCCTTCTCCAACCCCGCTCTATCGAGCGTTTTTCGCGGCTGGTGAGCATCTGCTGCATCGCAAATTCCGCGCGGGTCGCGTCGGAGCCAGCCCGCCGCTGTCGCTTGAACTGCCGTTCCTGTGGTCGGCCGATGATCCCGAGGCTGTTGAGCGATTTTCCTGCTTGAGCGGCGGTTGGGAGTTTGAAGCACGAGGCAGTGCGGCACATTGTTATTCGTTGTTTTGCACTACAGCAATACTTGCAGCAAGTATTTCAGAGTTGGAGATCACCCAAGTAGTACGTGATGTGCAGAGGTGCAACAACCGGTCAACCTTTCGCGAAAGTGTGACGACATCGGCGCATTTTCATGCAGAGTTTTACTTTCAGACCGAAGTACGACACATGATAACACACCCCCTGGGTCGATTTCCACAGCTCGATTACTCCACGACGAAGAGGATGCATGAACAACACGATACGTTTCCGGAGAGCTCTCGACAAGACAGCTTCAACACCGCCGTTTTCGGCGCTGCGACTCGTTCTGCTGGTGATGAATCGAGCTTTCAAAATCCGTCCAGGGGGGTGTGTTATCTTACGTCATATACGGCAGCACATCGTTGCAGCAAACACATCGGGGTGTACAGGTACCATATTGTAGCAAAAAATGTTGTGCGTACTGCTGTAGGCGCCTCTAGTACCAGAACAACAGACGAGTAATGAAGGCAACTCATGTGAACGTGGATATCACGTTGGGCGATTACACTTGTGCGTGCGAAGCATGCCGTCGAAAATTCAAAAATCTCGGCTGACGACCACATCTCCCAAAAAATGTGGTCGTGTACAAATCAACATACGCCGCCATCTCTTTTATAAGAGTGCCACCTACTTGACGTCCCTAAAAGAACATACTCGACGTAAGTCCAGCCTGCGGCATGACTGGCCGCGTGCAGTAGGTACAGCAGCAGTCGCTGGCACGGTGTCACGTGTGCTGCCGTTGCTCCGACCCCAGAAAAAACAAAAAAAATCAAAATTGCATGATCATGTCCACATCGTGTTTGTACAAGTGTACAACTGCGCAGTTCACGACTTGCCTGCTGGAAGCGTAGTACCCGCTGCAACAGGTGGGACTAGATTCTCCTTGCTGACCTCGCAGGGCTGACCACGTTGGCTGCCCTCCCAGCTGTACCTGAAGGCAAGGCTGCCACAAAGCGCTTCCTGCTCTGTGTTGCACA